AATTGCAATCTGGCGTTCTGATCAACTCACTTGGCCAGAATCTAGATTTATGATTACTTAGAGCACACCCAGCTTAAACAAGACGTTTGAAATCTGAGAGGATAAGGATAGCTTAGGTTTTTCTTTCTTGTTTGCATCCGGTCACCCTCGCTCCACTTGCATGGATTACAGTATGAGTTATGAACGCCTGAATGTCAAGGCAGAACCTACACACGTTTGTAATATGATAAGAAGTCGAAAACTGTGTATCCCAAGGGAAAGAACAAAATCGGAAAAGTATTTCTTTTCATAAGAGATGTGGACAAGCTTTCAGGATGAAAAAGCATCTACCGGTCAATAACGACTGTTAAAACAGGAGGGACATTCAGCTTTCTTCTTGTTGTTTTGTTTTATGAGGGGATCGACGGTTGACGCCCTGGAAGTGCCGGGAAACCAACCACCAAATTAATCCGTTTAATGGGACGTTAAACGCTTTCTAAACAACCGGCTGATGGGATAAATATCAGCTGATTCAACATAATCTTTAAGACGCCCTTCAAATGCACATACTGTAAAAGTTTAATTTGAAACGATGCTCAAGTACCTCCATTGGTAGAACACCCTTCATAACGACGATGAAGCCTCTGAACTGTGTTTACTGAACCATCTCAAACTGAGAACTTCAGGGTTTGATGGGCAAGCTTAAGAGTGTGTTGTACCCTGCACAAGGAAAATGTAAGCCCATAATATTTTCAAAGCGCAACTGGTGGAATGTCCTCCTTTTAGTAAAAAGCGAACTCATCGCAACAATCATGGTTTAAGTAAAAGTCACGTCCTCTAAACTCAGAAAGTCAAAATATACAAACTTTTCAGGTGGATTGTAAACTGAATAAATGCTCAGCAGTTTCTCTAGTTAGGTAAAAGTTCTGCCATAAAATCCAAGCTTTAGACTCTTGCACGTAGACAGCATCCGAAAAATTTCACATCTTCCTAACAGCGTTTGTTTGTCGCCTGCAAAGTCAAGTTATATTTTTTTTATTTTCATTCAACCATCGTAGAAGTTTAGAATTTAAAAATTAAGTGGAAAATATGAAAACACCTCAGAAGCAAAAGAAACAACACCACAGAGTTCGCCGTTACCAACGCAGAAAATTCGCATTTTATTCAACAGTCGTCGGAATTAAGAAGTTGATCGCGTACCTTATACGGTGGCTTCGCTGTCCCTGGGTTTAGTGTCTTGTGGACACATTCACAACCGCCAGCTGATCGGCGTCAACTTTTTATCCGAAAATCGCCATGGTCATCGAAGTAGCTCCGGGATTGTGGCAAAGTGGTGTATTCCATTTTCAACCCACTCGTTGATTGATTTGCTGGTTACTGATGCCAACGGGTACACAGTGGCGATTCGATTATCGAACGTCTGAACACACCAGTTATTACTTTATTGACATGTCGTATTATATGTCGCATCAACGGCTTGATCTGAGCGCCACTTTAGTCAAGCAGCTGGTGTAGTCATACGTGGTGACAACGCCGTAAAGCTCGGGTTCCAAAAGATGACGTAGGTGCAACTTGGCATTCTCTGCGACCCTTGTCCACGATGTTTCACTGAACCAACCGTTCTCCAGTTACCTGACCCTGCTTACAAATATTAAATTTTTCTGACCATCGTTTCGCCGATTAATCCATCGAAACCAACTGTTGTTCGGATCTGAAATCTTTGTTCTGATCAAGTTGAAATGTATTTGCAATACTGAGCATGCTGGGAATTATCTAACCCTTGTTTTGGAGAACACACTTTGATGGGCTTGTTTAGGCTTCGGGTCAATTAAGGAACTATGATTATAACTTTTATTCCGGTTGATAACTGTTGTATAAAGCGAACAAAAGCGGAACACATGAATTGCGAATAAAATTCATTCTTACGCATAGTCTCTACACCTTTTGGATGGTTGGTTGGTTGGTTGACAAACAGTTCACGTAACCAAACAAGGACGGAAGTACTCAGTACACACGGTCTCCACGATGAAGCAGTTTCTAAACTGGTTCGCTAGTGATGTCCTGCCAGGATAAAACCAACTTCCTCCAACTTGCACAAGATAATCGTTTAGTATGTAATGATAGCATTTCTAAAGCTCCCCAGGTTCCCTGACCCGAAGGCTAATCAGCTTGAATCTCTTGCCTGATCATCATTTTCGATTTACCTCTGCTCAGGTGCCCATTACATAGTGTACTGAACGAATCCAGCTGTGCAATACGATAGGCGTGTCTTTGGCGGTGTCATTAGGGTTAAGATCTGCAACATGGTACCCACTGAGAACTTGATGACAGCCGCGGCAATACTCCAGTGCGTTCTCGTGGAGACACACATTATCACGCCCTGTGTCCTTCCTATCCAAGATACGGTGGAAAAAAATGGTGATGTTTGGACTTCTACGGGGGACACATATTTGTTACCACATAACAACCAAGTCACCAGTCCGATTCGGATGAATTTGAGATGGAAAATCATGATGAGGCAAACCGTCATCTTATCAAGAGAGGAGTTATTAGTTTCAGAAGTGGTGGAGAGACTTGCGCGATATCCTTGATGCTAACAAAGCCTTAGATTGGCCGGTGATGGCCGGACAAATGAAACCCCAGATACCGATGGTTGAAATCAGCCAGCGGCTTGGAACAAACTATCCTCCCTCCTCAAAACTTGGGTCATTTTGAGGTGTTCGTTCCATTTTTTTTGTTTTAAATGTTTACTAGTTAGCCAAAGAGGATGAGATGATTTTCTTGATGACACACATTAGTCAAAAGAGTGTTTAAAACTCTTCCGCAGGACACGACTGATTTCGCTCGCTTTGGAGTACATCTGGTAGTCGGACTCATCGAGTTTGAAGCAACCTTGTTCTCTACTTGAGGACCATATTGTACCCGGCTGGCGGACTGCATCATTTCCAAATTAATTTGGAGAGCGTTTTAGACCAGAGACTCTGTTGTTTCCAGTTAAGAGCAAATCACTCTGCAAACGAGGGTATTTCGCGAGTTTTTATTCAAGAAGGCCTCCGGGACTGCGCCCACTTGATGAGTCCTAAGAAGCGCGAAACCTGTCTTGGCTGTCAGAAGAGAGCTTTCAGCAACTCTGTGAGCAGTGTTTCTTCAAGAACCTATCCTACGTTATCTAGGATACTGCACCAGCTGAAAGATGAGGTGGCCTTTTTGTGGCACATCCAACTGAAGGAAATCACAAACGTGAGGTTCAGTTACAGCTCAGAGTTCCTTGCATCCTTCTTGAGCAAGTGAAAGTTAGAATCACTGGCTTCAGTCTGATTTCTTCTCGTTCTTCGCGGAGTATAACCATTTCAATCTAGTTGAATGAAGCCTTATGGTGGAAACAGGAAAATTGGACACTGGGGAACCACGGCCAGCTTAGCACAAACATCCGAGGTGCCAACACATCTAACTGACTAAAGTACTTATCTTGACAAGACTACTAAACAGCAATGGTGGCTTGGGAACATTCATCATAAAATGGGTTTGGAATGCATAGTTCATGAAACAATGTCACGAGGCCGAATTCAGCTGGCCATAGCGAATTGAGCCCCCAAAGTTAAATTATGAAACCACTTTGTACTCAGTTAATTAGGGGAAAGAACCACACCCACTCACTAAACCAGTCCTTATTTACAAGACCCTCTGATGTTTGTTCGTCAAAATGAATTCACTGTTGTTGCCTGTGCAATAACAACCGAATCTATACCCGAAGGCAAATCGAAATGAGGGCTGCTGCATTTACCACGTGTGAGCGGAAAGTTTCGCCCTCAGTTCGACATTAGAGTTAACCAGTTCACCAGGATTTCCAAACCTTACTCAGATTACAAATTTCGTTCTTGACTACATGAATGCTCTCACTCCGCTCATCGACACATATTGGTAGTGTCCCAAAACAATATGACCCTAGTCGTGTGTAGTTGAGAGTTCTGTAACTTATGCATTCACATCGCTCTTATCTGGACGGTTATTCTCCTGACCTGCTACAATCCACACCCAGTGGTGAGAATTAGGCTTTAAAGTGTGTCTTAACCACCATTTGCGCATGCTACTCGAGCCATAATCCTTCCTGCGCTGAACCAAGGAACACTCTTATCTTGCACCGCATTGCAAAATCAGGGAACCTCAAAATGGTGTGGCTTTCTAGCCCTCTACACATAATTAATGGTCAAACTCATAAAATGTAGAATTTCCGCCTGAAAGAATCTGGTGATCCACCAGCAGAACCATTCTTCACCAAATATTTAGATTTTCAAAAATAACGAGGTACCTTATCGACCGGAATTCAACTTCCTGAACAATCCGACGTAAAAGATCAGACGTATCGATTTAGTGTGTGAGGCTGAAGTTGTTACCTATCAAAAAACATCGTCTTCTGCCCCAGAACGGACGAATTAAGAACCTATTCGTCTAGGGTTGCTAGACAGTTTGCAACAGATTTATCATCATCTGTCTTCTATCCATCAAACGGTGTATTGTACATCAGATTCAATATGATGTCAGTCTAACATGAACCAGTAGTGTTGTTCCATTCAGATACGAAACGTTAATAAGTGTGAAACTTCACTAGGGTACATTTGTTTCAAATTGAAAAGAATTCTGGTCATAGAGTGGAACTCACGTGCACGCAACCATCACCAAATTCATCAACAATTTTTAATCCAAATAACGTCGAGAAAACAGTGATTAGTTTCCTTCCAGTTGTCTCACGGCATTCACATGAAGATATAGGATGGCGGATTTTCCAATTATGAGCCACGTTTTTAACCTAATGCAAACCACACTACATCTACATTTATATGAATTCTGAAGTTACTTATTTGTTTGCGAGTTGTACGTTTGTGACTTCAAGGCTGTGCGCATGTGTGAGTACATTTCAGTAATCCAACGCTTGTCAGCGCTTCCCCACTCAGTTCCAGTCGAAACGTACAAATGCCTCACTCCCATCCACCCACTAGCTGTCTATCCCTCGATCTCTGTAGACCACCCAACGAGAACAAGCACGCGCAAGTCATTGACGAGTTGGTGTTTGTTTTTGTGAAATTTATGAGTGTACCGCGTCAAATCTTATAATAACCAAGGTAGGTTAGAATGGAATTGAGAAAATAATAACATGCATTCAGCAATCATCGGTGTGAATACTCTACTCAAGGACTATTAGCCCTGCCGCCTAGATCGTTTGTTGTTGATTGCAGACGAGCATATTACTAGGTTATCTGATTGGATGGGAACATTATTTCACTGAGTTATTGGTTTTTCTTACTCAACGAAATGAGAGTTTGTTCACCACATGATATGATTTGTTAGTTCTATGTTCGGAGTGGCGCTGGTTACTGTTTACTTCATAAGATAACAAAGCACATTATGATGTGATGCATCAAAAATGCTAAAACTCATATGCTATTCATTTCGGCTTTATACTAAATAAGTTACCGCGATTATATATATAT